GACTAGTTGACTCGACATAGTACTTCGACGCCAAATGAATTAGTGTGTGGTAGCCCGCGTCCTACAACGCTATTTCACGGGCTTATTTCAGATAAATCAGGGACCGATAGTAGGCTTTTCCATGTTTCGCGGTTTGAATATCGCTGAACGAATGAACGAATGGATGAATGAATGCTATTCTACGATTGAAACAGTGGAATAAAACGTGATTTGACAGTGATCCTCAGAACTTGAAACGGAATAAAAAATTTGAGGGGGGAGGGCATTTTTCATGATGCTGCCGCCAAAGAGACTGTATTAAACGTGTAATGTCGCAATACAATTAGTTTTTAACGCCCAAATGTCATTCCAGGTCAACTAGCTAGGAATGCTGGCATGCGCACGATGCCGTGGTTCAAACCTCCTGAGCCACAACAGTCCATTACGTCCGTATTTTCCAGGGTCAAGCGTACCGTCGAGAAAATTTTTTCTCCTCAAAACCATCCCGCTCACCCTCCTCTACGATTACATTTATCGAGCAGGTGGGATCAGACATGTCCAACCAACTGAAATTCAGAAACACCGAAATTGTACCGTCACACACTGACCAGAACATGGTTGAGAGGAGCATACGCACAAGACTCAAATGAACATGAGCAAGAAAAATTGTCATGGGGTTAAACACCATCCCCACCAGCAACAAAATACAACCCCCCCCCCTTTGAAGGTTCTCGACGTACTCTTCACCCTGGACTTTAAATTGTACACTCCATATCCCGGAACTGGGTAGGATCCCTCTTCTTACTTCTTTTGGAAGCGACAACAGGGGAAACACTGCCGCTCCAACAGCTGCAATGACGTCTTTGTCCTGGCGACAAAGGGGGACCGGCCAAGATAATCGTGGCTTGCCGCTCCGTCGCGCTCGACGTTCTCTTAGTTTCGCATTAGCCTGCCCATTGGAATACCGGATTCCGTATAGACCACGACATCGTGGACATTTGACAGTTATTTTGTCCTCATCTGCGACAAGGAAACATTGTCAGCGGGAGCGACGTCGCAAGCGACGGCGCTAGCGCGGCGGATTACGATTCTCTTGTCACGTACCCCTTTGCTCAGCACATGACAGTACATAGTACCCCCAAATAGGAATCCCATGACAAACACGTCCTATTCCACGTCAAAAATGGAGTTCGCAGTCACGCCTTCCCCATCTCCGGGATATGGAGCGAAAGTAGACCGATGAAGACGAGACCAATTCTTACCCCTGATTCCGTCGATCTCCTCCGAATTGGCCTATAAAGGGAATCACTTCATTTAGTTCGTGAGGAACTGTACATAAATCTGCGCTCATACTTCACGTCAGCGTTTTGAGCGTACGGCAGCCAGCGCTTTGATCGACTACGAGATGATAGGTATCAATCTACGTACGCCGCCATACGGCAGAATGTTTGGCGGTAGTTAACTTGACATTCGCTGAAAACAAGGCGTACGCTTAAGACGCTGGATCGATATCTACATTTTTCAAGTCGCTCGGAACGCTCAAAACGCTGACGCGCAGTATGAACGCGGCCTGATATCTTTTAACCAAATATGTGACAAAAAATACCTTGATAATCATCGCGATCACCTCCGCGTTGACCAAACGCGGGGACTGCCTCGAAGTTGGCGTTGTCGCCAAAACCCATGATTGGAAGCTCTGCTTTAGTAAAAGAACAGATTGTAAAATTAACTGGATATACATGCTCATCTACAGTACAACAGTGTGAAATCAACGTAGAAGACACTCACCACCAAAAAATTGTTTTGAAATTTCATTCCAATATTAAACTTACATAGAGAAACGCACACAATTACAGCATCATCGCGTTATTTATATATGAACAATAACGACAGACACTCAATATAGAAAGCTATGTACAATTAGACATCATTCCATCCCCTACCTTTACAATTACTCGATTCCCATGAGTACCATATACTGTGTTGGGAACTTATTTTTATATTTTTTTACACGGACTAATCCAGGGGAAAACTATGAACGGGAAATCAAATCAAATAAAATCATACAATCAGCTGACCAGTTAAGCATCGAGAAATTCTAGAATAGAATAGAGGATTTTATTACAAACTATCACATCGAAACAGTTTAACAATAAGTGCCTAATGCAAATTCACTTATTAAACTGGAGGTTTGTCTGAAGTAGGCCGAGGTGCCCCATTAGATCCATTTTTATTACTCAAAGGGACCGTAACTTTAGGATCCACATTAGGTATATCAATTAACTTTTTTGACGTGTTTTCTGAATCACTTCCTTCTTCTTCCATTGACCCACTAGTTGGTCCCTAAGAGGATAACATCAGTTAGGAACTTAAATTCAGAGCTAACACACTGTAATTGTGTGCGTTTCTCTATGTAAGTTTAATATTGGAATGAAATTTCAAAACAATTTTTTGGTGGTGAGTGTCTTCTACGTTGATTTCACACTGTTGTACTGTAGATGAGCATGTATATCCAGTTAATTTTACAATCTGTTCTTTTACTAAAGCAGAGCTTCCAATCATGGGTTTTGGCGACAACGCCAACTTCGAGGCAGTCCCCGCGTTTGGTCAACGCGGAGGTGATCGCGATGATTATCAAGGTATTTTTTGTCACATATTTGGTTAAAAGATATCAGGCCGCGTTCATACTGCGCGTCAGCGTTTTGAGCGTTCCGAGCGACTTGAAAAAATGTAGATATCGATCCAGCGTCTTA